AAAACATTTGCATATAAACTCACCTGGCCTGTAAAGAAAATAGAAACTAAACGCTGCTGTAATGTGATGCAGAGCTGCTGTTGTTCCGGTGGTCGGTTGGCCTCCAGTCCGATCCTTCAGGAGAAACCTCACAACTGGAACTTCATCTAAGCAACAATCCCCTGAGCGACAAAACGTCGAGGCCACCGACAGAGCGAAGCCGGTCTGCAAGAAGAAACCGCTCATCAAGATCAACATGGATGGGATACCTATTGGAAGAAAAGTAGACCTCGCATCATGTGACAACTACCATAAGCTGTCGAGTGCCGTCGAAGAGTTGTTCCGAGGCTTTCTTGAAGGTACAACAAATTTGAATTAATAACTAGCCCAGAATAAACAAAAACTGCAAATCATTTTGAGTAGTCAGATAATGGTATCTTACAAAAAAAGCATGAATTTTCCTCTGCACTTGGTTGTTTCTGCAGCCCAGAAGGATTTATCTTGTGATGAAAGCGGAGTGCGAGGAGCAGAAGAGAAATTATTTTCAGGGTTGCTGGATGGAACCGGTGAATACGCTCTAGTGTACGAAGATGACGAAGGGGACAGGATGCTGGTCGGGGACATACCATGGAGGTTTGTTCTTCTAACTGAGCTATTGTCAAAGTTATTTCACAAATTTATCGGAGAAGATCAACCCAAGAACATACGTTGCCTAACGAAATGCTCTTAACTCTCTGCAGTGTGTTTGTTTCGACTGCGAAGAGACTGAGGGTCATGAGGAGGTCAGAGCTTCCCCAACGCATGGTAAGTGTAGTGCCACCGGCTACTCTGCCTATTGTGTGGGCTTTATTAATTTAAAGCCGGACGCTTCAACGTCTTTGTTCTAAAAAAAATGTAGTGCCACCTCAACTTGTCTGGTTTTCATTTTGGGCATTTACAAGACTGCTAGTCACCGGTTATATATAGATCAAACCGATAAGTTTTATATCTTCTTTAAAACCATGCTACACTTCATTTCCTCAAACCCAGGTTTTCCTCATTTCCTTCAATTCTCTTTTCAGACTGGAGCTAACTCAACGAAAGTAGCAGATTGCTGAAAATGAGGGTGCATGCATTTCCATGGCACAGACCGCAGTTCATCACATTTTTGGAGATCGCCCGTCTTTAGCTCATAGTGATGAATCTAATAAGGAGGAAAAAAACATCTCGTAGTTGCAGCTACAGTGGGCACACTGCATATCTTGTAAATTACCCTACTCTTTGTTCGAATGTAGTGTTGGTCATTGCAATAGTACATGTTGTAGGTTTATTAAAAAGCGTCGCGCCGAAAGTGCCGTGTTCGACGTGTTGCGACAGTTCTCTACTTAACTGCACTCAGTGCATGATGCAAACCTAATGATTAAGATCGCAGTGATGCACGACTTGTCAGAGTTGTTAGCCGTTGTGAACGCAAAAGGGCAATGTTCTGCTGGTGGATCATCAATTATGGAGGCTCGAGCAGGAACATCCCGTGGAATTTCCTACTGTTAGTGTTAGGGTGTCAACTGTCAAGTTATCCACTTCCTGATCTATATTAACCTTACAACAAGAAATTACCCATGAATATGCCTACATACGGCTCACTTGCTCTCTGGGGTTGTTGGGTACCAGATCACCATCTTGTCATAGAAGCTGCCTCGCTGGGACAAAACTAACCACATGCTAGTAACTTTTCGTCGTAGTTAGCTTTACGGGTTATCGATAAAATCGATAATGCGTTTGTTATCCTTGGTTCCTTGCACACTGACCATGCCCCCATTGCTTTCTCCGACAGCAATAGTTGCCAAACATGGTGAGATAGATCCATTCCATGACTGAAACAATGCATGGGCTTCAACTTAACGCTCTAGTGCAACTTGTGACAGAATAAATTCATTTCAACGGTTTTTATATGGTTTATTTGCCGCATCATTTGCTCGCAACTTGGAAGTGAAACACGGGACTGTTTAACTATAGTCAGAATATAAATGAGCAAAATACTTGAGCAAGCATATGATGATTTATCTTCAGAGTAATGGGCAAGCACCAGAGTTACCTGAAATTCAGACTGACAAACCCCATGTATGCCTGTCATAAGATTTATCATCAGAGGCTCCATCTGCAGACAATCAAGACCCCTGACCATGACTCTGAGCAGCATACATACATAAGACAATAAACAGGAAAAGGAGAAAAAATAAATCCATCCATGGCTGCTGCAATGCTTCCAACCTTGGAATTGGGGACAGAGGAGAGGTCGTTGTCGTTGTCAATGGACCCCCTGAATGAACCCCGAACGGCGGGAAAAAAAGCAGAGGAGATGGGGGCGGATTACGAAAGAATCTCTACTCTCTAGTCTCAAACATCTGTGTGCCCCCATGTTGTGTCGTGTGCTCATTTGCTGCCGGTGCATATTTTAGTTGCTGGGCTAAAAGCGGCCGCATTTCTTATGCAGGAGCATGCACCGGAGAAGGTGAAAGCAACGGGAGTGCCCGAAAAAATCAAGCATGCCACCATCCCCTGCTTGTCCACAAATAACTGACTACAGTATGTGCAAAACTTTCTATCAGTTTATTGCCTTCCAGAAAGCAGCTTGCCAATCAAGAAAGATAATTTGTACTGTGACCTGTGAGTGGATTGGGATGATGCTATGTGTCCATCTCTGAGTGTACCAGTGGTGGAGACATATCATAAGCGGAAGGATGTGTGGTTCAGTGTGGAGATGCGCATATAATTGAGGCAAGAACCAAGATTCGTTGAACGTTGCGACAGGGTTATAGAGAGATGGCTCAGGCGTCAGGCCTCAAAGGACTGATGGGTTCAAGCTTTTCTGCAGCTGCTCTCTTATGATGCAGATCCTGCTTATGGCCAACTCTGACGCACGACCGTAAACGGACCTCCGAGGTGTCTGGATTCTGTCCGTTTGAGTCGGCAAAACAGACACGAGCGTCCGTTTGGGGTTGTCCGCCCGTCGGTGTGCCCAACCGGCCGCCACATTTCAAATATTTGTCCACATTATGAACTTAAATATAAATAGAAAAGGACATTCAAAATAATATATTGCAGTAAGTTAAAAATTCCATAAAGTCACGTCCGAACATTGAAATTGAACTAAAAATAAAGCAAGCATCAAAACTAGAAACCCTAGATTGGGCCATCACCGTCGTGCTGGCCGTCTTGAGTCGCCACCGTTCTCGTCGTCTTCGTCCATGGTGAGGTCGACGTACGGTGGTGGCTATCAAAGGTGGTATGGCGGGCCCTGCGGCGACTATCAAAGACGAGCGGGTGACGCCTGCTATGGTTGTGTCGGGGCTGGTGACCACGGCTCTGCGCCCATCCACGAGGCCGGTGGTGAAGGTGGGCTCCATGGCACCATGGATGTACATGTCCACGTCCACGACTGCCCCACCAACGCCGGGTTCCAGGGCGTGGTGGGAGGCTCCTCAACCACCTCCTCGTTCACCTCCAGCTCGGGTATGACGACGTCGCCGGTGGCCGACAATGCCATCACGCCGAGGCCCTCCTACTGGGGTAGTCGTGCTCCCTCATGGAGTCCTCAAGCACCCTCCTAACCAGCTCCACCTCCTCTTCGGTGGTCATGGTGGGAGCTCGTGGTGGCATGGACGGCGAGTTGGAGGGCGTGGGAGAGCACGTACGCACCCGCGCACGACTTCGTGGCCGGGGTGGGCTAGGAGCACACGCACGACTAGCAAAGCGCGCCCGTGGCGACCTTGGAGCACGACCGGCAAAAAAACGTTTGCCGACGTAGGTCGTGCTCGTCCCGAAATCATGTGTCCCACATAGGGGAATCAACGACATACCTTGAACTGTTCAGAAGGTCCAGATGAAGGCAGGCGCTCCGGCAGTTGATCTCCAGCAGACGGACGTGGCCGCTTGCCAGGACAGGCAGCACGGGCACCGAATCTGGGCTGAGATGCCAGCCATTCGGGAGATGAGCGTTGCTCCACGACAGCGGTGTCGCCGTGTCCCTGTAGCGCTTGCATATCTCGGTCTTGATGTACGGCCACATGCATAGTGGGGCCATCGGCGGGGGAAGGGAGAAGACGGGCGGCAAGGTGGAGTGGGCGGCGGCGCTCTCGATGATGCGGAGGAGGACCCTGCTTCGTGCCGTGCTTTTCCTTCTTGCCGGGGATCCACTTCCACATTCCTATGGCGGCCGACAGGAGTGAGGGTGGCAGTCGGGAGCTAGGGTTTGGTCGCCGTGTCCGTGCGCGAGGAGGCAGTGGATGGATGGAAGTGAAGTGTGTGGAAGTGGACTGTCGGTCCACGAAGAAACGGTGGGGAGGGTTGGGCGGCTATCTTGTGGACCCCGCTAGGCGTGCAGATTAAATGTGGCCGGTGGGAAAGTGTTGCATGGCCGACAGGCGGGAGCGGACGACAAGACGACGCGCACGTGTCCGTCCAGTGTCTGTCCGGACACATAAGGGCATCTCCATTGCTGGGCGCTTAGGCCAGGCGCTAGGTTTGTAATCATGGCAGATTAGCGGTTGCCGGGTGTAATCCTGGTGTCAACCCTGGCACCGACGCCAAACCACGCACCCGACGCTTGGTCATTTTCCTTCCAGCACTTAGCGTCTACGTTGTTTAGTTAATTAGCGTCTAGTGTTGAGGGATGAGGCGCTTAGGTGTGTTTCATATATTTATTTATTTATTATTTTTTCCATAAGCGTCTATGTAAATTCCTAGCATTGTAGATGCCCTAACCGGTCCAAATTTGCGTCGGATTTGGGTCGAGCCGAATATGAGTTGGGCAGAATTTGCGGTTGCTCTCGAGCGTTGGACCGTGAATTTTATTGGTTTCGATCTAAACAGACTGAGTCGGATAAAATGAGGTCATGCGTTGGAGTTGGCCTAACAGAATACAGCCAGAACAGGCCGCCGCAGCTTCAGAAAATATATGTATGGTCCCAAGCAAGGTATGGAGCATGCATGTAGCTGTCTTGAAAGATTGTTCATCGAAACATATCAAGATATCTTATCAAACTATAAAAAGATGGAATGAAACCTACGTATCCTGAGATTAATACTCCCTCTGTAAACAAATATAAAAGCATTCAGATCACTAAAAATAGCGATCTGAATACTTTTATATTTGTTTACAGAGGAAGTACGAGATACAAATCGCTGCAATAGGCATGGCAAATGGATTAGCACATAACGGCAAGGAAACCAACTTCTATTCTTTTGCAGCATGGTAAGAAAATGATATGGCGCTAAGCACCCCTGCACTGGAAATACACAGCTTTGACAAATCTGATGTCATAAATTGCATCAATGAGCAGCAACCACGGCCCCTGGGTCATCACCCTCAGTCCTCACGCTACGCTGCCTGGTGGCGCGCCACGACTCAGCCGCCCGCTCCGACGGCGGGAGGTGACCACCCAGACCGGTCGCGATGGCGGAATTAGCCAAGTGTTGCACGACGTGACTTCGGCGGCTCGATCGCCGGCACGAGGTAACAGCCGTCGGAGCATTTAAAATGTTAATCTTTTATTTGACAACTACTAATCAGGCGTTTAAAAAAATGTTAAAATGTGCATAGTAAAAATGTTAAACATGCATATACAAATAAGTAGAATGAAATCGAAAAGAAACAAAGAAACCCAAAAAAATGAAAGCCGAAAAAAACAAAATAAACCAAAGAAAAAAATGAAAATGAAAAATAAAACCGAGGAAATAAATGAAAAGGAAAAATGGAGAAGAAAGGAAACAAAAGAAAAAGGAAAAAAGGGGAAAACCTGAATAAAAGCGAATAAAACAGAATAGAAACAAAAATACCTATGAAATGCTAGCGTGTTTCCTATCAAGTACATCGCGCCTTGGAATCCGTCACGAAACATATGCTACCCCAGTGGCTAGCAATGTAGACACTCAACCTGGGATCGACTCCCCTATCGCTACAGCGCTTCAGTGAGGAGATCCTTCCA